ATTAAACCATGATGAGGCTATAAGACCATCTTTTTTTATTGTATTAAATAATTGACGAAATTTTGTACGTATGTTTTTGGCATCTTCGCTCAAGATTGTTACTGCATGAATAACTTCTTCTTCTGCATCATTTATAGTATTTGCTTCAACTTTTTTTAAATTCTTACTGATGACCTTCATTTTTGAATCAGTATGGACAATATCTTTCTTTTGATTGAGATTATTATCTACTCCAAGATTTTCAATGATTTGATGATTATGATTCAAATTTTTTAACGGACCACATTTTTTTACTTTTAAAAGATTTATCAGAAAGCTGAAGTTGAAGTTTTCCAAACCTCTTTGCATTGAAAACTTATGGAGCTTCCCCAATTCTACAATTATAGCTTTATTATTATTATTGTATTCTCTCACCTCATCGGGAGATAATTGCTTAATCTCAACCTTTAACTGTTTATTAATAACTGCCCCCATTTCATTGGAAAGGATGTCACACTCCGTTTTCAGCTGCTCAATGTCATGAATATTTTCCATTTTAAGAATGAAGGAGTACTCCTTCTGATGATTCATTTTTCACAAAAATATCTTGTACATAACCACAAACCAAAATATATTTCACAGTCTCAATTGAATAAATAATTTTAACTTATTTTTCCCATTCACTTTGCATACACATGTAATTGTAGAAACAAAATTTTCAATTTCAAATTGCCCTCAAAATTTCACTCACACAAAAACGTGCACAATTGTATAGGAGGTTAGGATACTCAAATATATGAAAACTGAATGAAAAGTGAAAGATGCTTTACAACTTTTTTTGACTTGCCTTGTACACGATTGAACGGCAATTGAAAAAAAAATATATGCGTTTGTACGAAGTTAAATAAAAAGTTGCTTATATTCTTGGTGGGAGCATACGGACATAGTGTGGGTTGTGAAGAAGAGGTGCATGATTTTGATTGGTCATTTCTATTTGGTGAAAGCATATGTGCGCACTCCTATATACACATGTGCACAAATTCTACCCAAATTTTTTAGATTGATTTCAATTGCATCTGTCCATCGTGTAAGTTAATATATAATAAAAAATGAAGGTTAATAGCCAACTAACTATTAATTTGAATGAGAGTGAAATTGATAACGTATTGGGAGATATAGATTGTAATGCAAATTCATCGTCTTTAAACGCTATGGAGAATATATTTGCTGGTGTAGATAAGAGGTTTGTTAGTGAAAATAGTGACCATAGCATAGCTAATGTGACGAGTGAATCCCGAAATGTGTCATTTGAGGTTATATGGACAAATATTCTAACTAATTTGAATCCAATGTGACGTCCTACACAGCTAGCTACGTCTACTTTTTGAATATTAGGCGGCAATGCACTGAAAGTCCCAACCATAACAGCTATGCCTGCGCCGGTACCGTTGTTTTACCATTCTTTACCATTCCTTACCATACTCATCATAATCTACCTTACTATAATTACCATCGGTTTTACTCTTTTACCAATAATGTTGAAGTTAATAATAAGTACATAACAATAAAATTAAACAACGCTAAATAAAACAAGCTATCAGAAAATATAAGAATAAAACCACAAACATTTATATTAATAATTAAATTTGGAACTTAAATATCACCGTGTGCATTCACATGGTGAACTTTTATTTTATTTAAATAATGAACAAAACAATTATAACACCTAGCGATGTTTTATTAGGATACTTGTATTCTTATGTTAAATAGGTACAGACCTTAAATTATAAGTTATAATATACAAATTGATTATATTAGTTATGCATGACTCGGCGTAACCTTGAAACTGCCGAGTCATCATACAACATATGCCACTATTTCTATTAACAGTTACAACTATGTTACAGCCTAAAATATTAATTAAATCATTTTATTTTATTTAACTTATTCACATCAAAATACATTAAGAACCCTTCTATCAAAAAACATTATTGTAAACAGCACTTTATTTATTTATTGGATAACGTCACTTTTTACACAAGTCGTTCACTACTGTATATTTCACTGCACTGTTATAACATTTCATATAAAACACTTGTAACACTATAGCACAATTTTGTATCATAATTTTAAGTTAATATTTTTCATTGTAATAGTTTTAATCAAAATCAATAAAGTCAGTTTGCCACGAACGCCCGCCGATCGGACCAACATGACGGTTGCTCATCCCCACTTTTGGGCACTCCGCAGAAAGCGTATAAATACGGGCCTCCTCGGAGGCAAGAATCAGTCTCAATACTCAGTCAAACCAAGGCAGTCTAACGAGCAGCATAGGTCCTCAGTACTAATGAACTCACTGCCTAGTTTTGAGTAAACTTCGCTAGATTTAGTTACTTACTAGATCTAGTTACTAAAGTAACTTACACAGACTCGTTTGACTCGGGCGTTGCGTAGGCTACTGGAATTTGAACATTAAAGCCTATACAATCATTTTTACCCGAGTTATCCTAATCTTACTAACTACTATTTACTACTTTCTACCTTTACAATAGAACACATTTGTTACAAAGGTCCTTCAGCACCATTACAACAAAATCTTTTTCTACTTGTTACAAAGGTCCTTCAGCACTTTTGTAACAAGATCTATAAAATACTGTAGAGGTCCCTCAGTACTTCTGCAATAACATCTACTTTCAACAAATTGCCAAGGTCCCTCAGCACTTTCGCAATAAATTCTTTTCCTTATCGTAAAGGTCCTTCAGCACTTTAACGTTAAGGTTTCTGTCCAAATAATTGCAAAGGTCCTTCAGCACCATTGTAATTAAAACCCGCCACTTATTATTGAGGTCCTTCAGCACTTCTACAATAAGGGGCTTTTCGTTAACTAAATTACTTTTTAAACAATAGGACTTTGAGCTATTAGGGTAAAACCTAGGCTATAAAGGCGTATCTATTTGTTTAATTGGACCTAAGGTCACACCAACATTACCAGTGTGTAACACCAATCTCATGAGTACAGACGAACCAATTGCTTTCAATAATGCATCCAGAGATAATCCACGAATTATTGATGATGCACATGGACTGTTTTTCAAAAAACTTGATAATGGTATATGGGTAAGAGTAAACAATTCACCAAGAATGCCGGAAAATACGGGAAGCATCATCTCCGTGGTGCAAAGCAATATCGGAGAGTCTTCTTTTCAAAACATCAAATTATCGAGAGGATGATGGTTCAAATTATCAGGAGGATACTGCCTCTTTGTCTGATTCTCTTCTAACTATTATTGAGAGAGAGTCACTGTTTCTTAAAATCACTTTGATTTTCTCGTGAGTACTTGTACTGGAGCAGCGAGTAGGATTGAGAAATAAAGAGACCCTTTGTTTATTATATATAAAAGTAAAATATAATATATTGATAGTAAGTAAAATAGGTATAGGTAATTAACGTACGAAATGATGTGCGCTCTGCGCAGTGTCTAGCAAAAATCAGCGTGTTCGCGTGCGAGCACTCGCCGGTGGGCTACGCAGCCCCACTCCTGTGCGGCGATAAGGATATGTACAGTTTGCACCCGTATACACACATGTAAATCAGAAGGATCGCACTTACATATACATAGATTTTTCAACAGTCACAGACTAAAATTATATCATCTCAAAGCTGGGACCTAACAAGGGTACCAACTCAGCACCAATTTAGTGATGACGATAGTGATACCACTACAGTACATAACAGAGACTGGAATTTATTGTTTATTATTACACATTAAACTTTTTATTTTTAAATTTCAGTTTTTAAATTTTTTTTACATTTATCATTTAGCTCACAATGTTCAATTATAACACTAAATACTCTCGATTCACCAATTGGCGATGATGATGATGAAATGATGGAGATGGAAGATTCATTTATAGTTGCAGATAATGTCAGAGAGTCCACATCTTCCTATGAGACAGATCAAGCAGATAATAACATATCATCGCATGATTCTCAGGGGTACAACTTATCTCAGAACGCATCATGGAAGCGGGAGTTTAGTGAAAACCGCCCCTTTGTAAATGATTTACATTTTTGGAAAAAGGAGTTTGAAAATAATGTATCATTCCATCAATAAATAATTGTTTCCAATTTATGAAGAAAATATGAAAATAAATTTAAAAATTAAATGTAGAAACAGTAATAATTTTATATTCATTCTCCACATATACATTTTTAATATGACATGCGATTGTGCTCATACATATAGAATTTATTTGGATCAATGCTTCACAATTTTGTAACACGTGGTTCCAAAAGCACACGGCATTGAATTAAAATTTTAAAACACACGGACCCCAAAAATCACATGGCATCAAAAAAATTTTAAAACACATGGCTTCCATTTAAAATTTCGAGAAAATTCAAAAACACATGGTCTTATATACAAGAAACTCATCGAATAAAACTCTTATAGATTTGCACTATAAACATACATTTTGGTAAAGGATCGGATCGACGGTACGAACACCACGAGTCCCCTAATGCCCACAAACAAACATTTATTCACCACCCGCTAAAATTTGCAAAAAAATTTCAGTGAAGAATCAGATGCACCACCCCCATACGGACACCCACGAGTCCCCACAACATACAGTAGGCCCTCCGTATTCGCGGTAGTTACGTTCTGTAAAAAGGCCGCGAATACGGAAACCGCGAATAATTGCGAACGGCATCCCCGCGCGACAAAATACAAGACCTTTCTACAGGTCAACAGGTTTTTATTTTTGTATTGAAATCAATTAAAATAATCGGTTAGTCGAGCCTGCTTCATTCTTCTCATACTATCTTTATATAGTTTTTGATAAACGGAGATAGCATTTTCGCAATTGTACTTGAATCTCATGCTGCGGACTACAATTGGATCTTCGGATGTAACTTCGTCTATAAGATTTTGCATCGAAGTCAAAATATGCGCGATTTTCTTCATAGTGAAAGATTCAGCTTCTTCTTCCTTTTCATCTTTTTCTTCAGTCAGTGAATTTTATTCTGTTATCAACTCATCGATTTCATCAATGCTTAAATTTTGTTCGCTCGGTAAAATAAGACTCATTATTTCTGGAGCATTGATATCGGCAAATCCTACACCACCAATTTCCGCTCCAATCTCCATCGTTTGTTGAACAACGATTTCAACATTTTCCAGGGGCTCTCCAGGAGTGTTTACAACAGCAGGTAATAATTTACCCCAGCTTGCATTTAAGGTGGAATCTTTTATTTCATTCCATGATTCCGAAAGTAGAGTGATCGAATGTAAAATATTAAAATCTTTCCAAAACTGCTTGAGTCGGGTCGTGGCTATCAGTTTGCGTAGTAACAGCTTGTAAAATTCTTTTCATTATTCGTCTCAAATAGTAACTTTTAAAAGTTGCGATAACGGTTTGGTCCATTGGTTGAAGCAAAGCAGTTGTATTTGGAGGAAGAAAGAGAATTTCAATGTCAGGGTGAGCGGTTTGTATTGACTCAGGATGGCTCGGGGCATTATCAATGATCAACAAAACTTTGAAAGCTAAATTTCTTGTTAATAAAAATTCTCTTACTTCTGGAACAAAGCTGAAATTGAACCATTCTTCAAAAAGTTTTTTATTCATCCAAGCACTTCTGGAGGATCTCCAAAAAACCGGTAATTGAGCTTTGTTTTTGTATCTGAGTGGGCGTGGAGTTTCAAACTTATAAATGACTATAGGCTTGCATCGGAAAGTTCCTTCTGCATTTGCGCAAAAAAGCACAGTGTATATGTCTTTTGAAGCCTTAAAACCTGGAGCCGATTTTTCATCTTTCATCAAATATGTGCGAGGGGGCATTTTTTTCCAATAAAACCCCGTTTCGTCGCAATTGAATATTTGTGCGGCTACATACCCTTTCTCTTGAATCAATTGCTCCACTTCAGCAGGGAATCTACGAACAGCTTCGTGGTTAGCAGATGCACTCTCTCCAGAAAAAGATACGTTATGTAGAGAATACCGTTTTCGAAATTTATCAAACCATCCTTTTGAAGCAAAAAAATTATCTTCACTTGCGTCATTATTTTTCTCCTTCAAGTAACGAACGATTGCTAATGCTTGTTCACGAATAGCTAATCCACTTACTCCCGCTTTACATTGAAACATATCCTGAACCCATATTATTAACATCTCTTCCATTTGCTCTATAATCCCTACAAATAATTATTAATGAAAATTTTTGAAACCCCTGAATTAAATTATAACGCATACCTTTTCTACTAATTTTGGTGCATTTGGCGTGTAGGCTTAAATGTGCTGCGCTCTCTCGAATTTTCTTCTCATTATCGCGAATAGATCGAATCGTTGACTCATTTACCGATAACCGTCGTGCAATTTCGGCGACTTTATCACCAGCTTTCAACGCGTTCAAAATTTTTAACTTTTCAGCCAATGTCATTACTTTTTTCTCCCTTTTTTTGATTGGATTTTTATTGCTAGGAGCCATTACGAGATTTTAGAAATATAAGCAGGCCACGATAAAATAAAAAGGTTTATAATTTTGATTTTAATAACCTATTAACAATATACATTGCAAAACAATGAACTAGGCTATGAATCCATATGAAAAACCGCGAATAGTCGAACCGCGAATAGAAAGGGAGGGTGTATATAGGAAAACCGCGAATATGCGAATTCCGCGAATACGGAGACCGCGAATACGGAGGGTCTACTGTACCTGTATTTATCTTTTTTTCAACCCTTGCAAAAATTTTCAACCCCATTGGGATTGATAGGGGTATTTTATTTAGGGGAGGTTTCAGAATCCTTAAAGACTAACTACTTGAACCACAGGTGTCCCTGGCTCTTACTATTTCTATCAGGTGCCAGTCGTTGGAGTAAGAAAGCATCCAACGCGAAGGCCGAACTTCTACCGCATCTTGCCAAGCATTCTCCTCAGACTCATTGATGAGTTTGAGGTAATATGCACTAAAAAAAATCAAAATATGCATGCAAATATGCGCGTAAAATGTTTAAAATAGACTCAAAAATATGCTCAAATAAATAGTTATCAGAAGACGCAAAATTTAACTATCTTACTTTTTAACGCGATTCAAAAATATAAATTTAAAATAATGAATTCTAGTCTGAGTGCCCACCGACCATATAATTTCTTTAACCCGTCTAATACCAAGAGACCCTATTTTCGACTTATTTTTCCACGCGTTATTTTTTCATGAAACCATAGTCAAATTAATGTAAAAATAGCATAATTTATGGGATTTTTATCGCTCTTTTCAAATCTCGCGTCAGATTTACTATATATGCAACCATTTTGAAACTGCATTTGCTTAAACAAAAAAAAAACGTGGTTTTTGAACATCTTTTCTCAAAATGATCGTTTTTTTCACCACGATTACGCATTCGGATCGGCTTGAAACTCTGGATCTGGTGGCATACAGGCCTAAACTAAAAGTTAGCGTCGTTGGTTCATCCAGATTTAAGATGGCAGCCACCAAAACAGCTCATTGTAGCCGAAAATGTAAAAAAAAGCTTTGGTATTTTTATACTCGATAACAATGGACTCTACGAAAAAATGTTATAGAACAAAAAGTGCTTAGAATTGATCAAAAACACGTGTGAATTTTTTCAGAATTTTTTGGATGATTTTGGAAATTTTCGGATAATGGCCATATCCAAAAAAATTCCAAAATCTTTCAAAAAATTCTGAAATAATTCACACGTATTTTTTGATCAATTCTAAGCACTTTTTGTTCCATAACATTCTTTCGTAGAGTCCATTTTTATCGAGTAAAAAAATACCAAAGCTTTTTCTTACATTTTCGGCTACAATGAGCTGTTTTGGTGGCTGCCATCTTAAATCTGGATGAACCAACGACACTAACATTTAGTTAAGGCCTGTATGCCACCAGATCCAGAGTTTCAAACCGATCCGAATGCGTAATCGTGGTGAAAAAAACGATCATTTTGAGAAAAGATGTTCAAAAACCACGTTTTTTTTTGTTTAAACAAATGCAGTTTCAAAATGGTTGCATATATCGTAAATCTGACGCAAGATTTGAAAAGAGCGATAAAAATCCCATAAATTATGCTATTTTTACATTAATTTGACTATGGTTTCATGAAAAAATAACGCGTGGAAAAATAAGTCGTAAATAGGGTCTCTTGGTATTAGACGGGTTAATTTATCATTTATTTATTTATAATCTGTAAATTTCTGTATGTATTTACTGAGCCCAGCTTTTTATTAATAAATGTTGCCGAAATAATTACCTCAAAAATTCCCACAAAAAAAGAAACAAAAAATATAAAATCGACAAATAGATTCTGTCATACAAGGTCGAATAATCATTGTCAATTTTATTTTTGTTGTTTGTTGAAAAAATAGATTGATGTTAGTAAATTTTTTTAGGTCATTATTTTGGCATTATTTTTTAATAAACTGCCGCGGTTAAAAAAATATTGTCATCAGCGGACGTTACAAGACAAATGTATTTCTTCGCTACTATGATCAGATTTTTTTTTAAATCAAAACCAAACTCTGAATCCTACATTAAAGCTGTCTTATATGAAGGAAAATATTCCCTTGAAAATGATAAGATATTTCTTATTGCAGCAAATTAAGTAATATGAATATTTTTTTTCAGGAATGCTCATGTTGTAGAGAAACTTTGTTGAAACACCAAGAAATTCAATTAAATGAATGCTTCGATACTTCTGGATTGAGACTAAATAATTCGTCAGAAGAAGTAGTTCAGTTTTCTATAGAAATACCATTAGATTGTAAATGTGCAGAGTGCCGAATGTGAGATTTCTTAAAAATTTTCAACCATAAGAATGATATTAGTCAAAGATTCATTTGGAAATGGAATTTTTAGCAATTGATTTTTTAAAAACTAGAAGTGAAAGTTCGGGATACAATCGATTTTTGATTTTTTTTATGCACCCAAAATTTTGAAATTTATCCCAAAATATTTACCGTTCTTAATATCATTTTTACTTTAATATATGGTGGGACAATGTTACAAAGCGTGAAGGACGCGAATGTGTGTAAGTCAATGCGTGAGAGTTATACGTGGAAAACCATAATGATAATGAAGGAAATCGACGACAACGCTTGACGCGACATGTACAAGTTTAGATTGGAGTGAGAGTAAGGACGTGATGTGTGAAAAAGAGAGCTTAGAAGTCGAACCTCGTTCGCAGTGGAAATAGTTCATTACGCAACGAGTGGGAACACCTACTCCGCTCGAATTGAGTATACTATTTTTTGATACAGTTGCGGAAAGTTCGTTAAACATTAATAAGATTATAACTAGTGGCAACGATAGTTGCAAAATGCTGAGCGACCGAATGTTATATATCAAAAATACATATGATATTATCGTATTAGTTAATTCTGCCTTATAATATAATAGTTATTTATGTAACAAGTGCCCAAAAGGCGTTTTTGGGCACGAGTGTGCGGAAAAAGACACGAGTGCCGGCCATGCCGCATACTGTGCGCAAAAAGCTGGGCACGTGTTGTATACTAAATTTTATGCAATAGTAGGCGAAAAATACGTTCATTTAAATGAGGCGTTTTACCGCGCACCCGTGTCCAAAATGAGGCATTTTACCGCACACAAGTGTCCAAAAACGCCTTTTGCGCACTAAAAAATGTGCGAAAAAAGACATTTTTCGTCATACTATTGCATAAAAAATATTATCTTCAATGAGCATCACATAAGGATATAATTCAATGAGCTTTTGTTGTAGCCGTATTTTATGATTATCTACACGTTATGTTACGTACACAAACATTAGTATAGGTTTACATGAATTTTCAGATCGATTGGTTTATCCCTGCATGAGTTATCGCAATTAGAATAAAACATCAAAAATAAGTAATATCGAATGTATACAAAAAAAAATTACCCATAAATAACCCAAAAAATATATATTACAAAATTTACACACGAATATTGATGAAAAAATCAAAAATGCATGAAACTGCATTTTTTGCATATTAGGGTACACGGATTTTGCTAAAAAAGTATACAGCACTCCATCTACATCCTAAGAATGCTATGTAAAATTTTCAGATCGATTGGTTAATCCCTGCATGAGTTATCGCAGTTAGAGTAAAACATCAAAAATTAGCATTATCGAATGTATACGACTTTGCTATGGTTTATGACACGACATATACATATTATAAAACAACCAATTTTTGCTAAGTAGTGATACTCAAAACACGACATATAATACAATTGTCATCAGTACAATGTTAACTGAAACACGACACATATATAATATAAAACTATCAATTTTTGCTAAGTAATGGTACTCAAAACACGACATATACAAAACACGACACATAAAATATTATAAAAAAAATAACCCGTTAATAACCCAAAAAATATATTTATAACATTTGCAAACACGAATATTGATGCAAAACTCAACATTGCATAAAAATGCATTTTTTGCATATTAGGATGCACGGATGTTGCTAAAAAATTATACAGCACTTCATCAGCACCCAAACAATGCTATGTAAAAATTTCAGATCGATTGGTTTATCCCTGCATGAGTTATCGCAGTTAGAGTAAAACATCGAAAATTAGCAATATCGAATGTAAACGACTTTGCTTCGCTCAGCATCAATGAGATGGACAAGAAGCTTGTGGAGGGCGCGGAGTAGGTTCTGGGCGCGGGACAGGTCCAGGGCGGCAGCCCTGGTCGGGGTGCAGGGGGCAAAGCTCCGCCCCCACCCAAAAATAAATACTCACATAGTACATATAAACTTTTTTTTTCATTATTATTCATAAAAAGTACAAAATTGCATCTTAAGCAAACTTACAACAACTGAAGAACTGAACAAACTGAACAAAATTAAAAAGAACTTGGAAAATAAATTAATCTTCTTTTGCACCTCTTAAATTAATAGATAAATTGCCATGATTTATAATATCTATTTTAATGTTTTTATCTAAATAACAGATTTGATAGTACATTAGCAGACCTGAAATGTTCTTGCACCACTGATTCGGTTATTTATGCTTTTTAATATTTTGCTTATTAACTGCCCAAACGGGTGAACAATTTTCACTATTATTCAAATTTCTTTTTTTTTTGGATTGTATCGACTGCATAAGATGTTGATGGAATAGAGGTTTCTTCGTTGGTGACTGCAAATGATGTTGATGGGATCGAGATTTTATCGAACGGCTCATCTACAGAGATATCGATCGCTTTCGCTATACTTTTGCTTATTTTATTTTTATTTGCAATTGTATCAGCCACATACCCTTCTGCAACTTTATTCGATTTTCACCCTCCGTGGCGTTTTAATGCTAATCTATTGGCTCCGCTATCTGCCAGAAGTGTCGCAGATGTACGTCGAAAACAATGTCCGGTGTATAAATTTGGTTCTGGCAATTGTAAAAGGGCAGCAATTTTTTGCGGTTTGCGAGCAATTGTATTAACCCCGATTGGTTGATT